TCCTCTCATACTCAGCCACGGTCATACTGCCCTGCCGCAAGGCTAGAAAGTCTGCACTCATCTTATCTCTGACAGACTCTGGAAAATACTTGTCGTTGAAACTTTGCTCAAACTCCTCCCAAGTGAGCGTATTTGTGTCCCTCCTTTTCTTCACTGACTCTCACCAGTAATCGGCCTCCCCTTCCAACAAATAGGTAGCCAAGCCAACCCGAAGGTCCCCGGCGATCCCCATACCATCACAAATTTTTTTCACCCGGCGGATCCATCTATCCGCATCTAAGGGATTGGAGCTCCCTTGGAAGGTGGGTGGGTGTTACTGTAGAAATTCTCGAAGAGCTACCATCCTTCGGTTCTCATCGCCGTTGCCCGGTACTTGGACTAAAGGACGAACTCCACCGTTGTGGTGGTTGTTCCCACCTGGTTGTTGCACTAGGGTGGTGAGTTCCCTTAAACATTGGTAAATACCCTGTATGGCGTCGAGAGGTGGTGGAGGTGGTGGATTTGCTTGACCACCACGCCCACGACCACGTCCACATACCCGTTCACCGTCCATCCTGCATATCAATTCACAATTTAGTTTCATTGATGTACAAGACATCCTAAATATCACTTTAATCTAAAGCATAAGGTTCATATAAAATTAGACCAACAATTTCCTTCAACTTAATCCTACTTCCCTAGTGGTACTCCATAACCTACAGCTCCCACGTAAGACCTAAAGCCTTGGCTTTGATACCAAATCTATAACGCCCCCAAAACCCCCGTGGGTGACATTACATTCTAAAAATCATTTACCATATGAGAGCATTAAGTAAAATTTATCACGACGAAAGTTTCATTCATCAACCATTCATATTTTAACAAAATTTGGACAGAGTCTCCTTTGTACGGGGAGCTCTACCCAAAACACAACCTGTACAATTATATTACAATTGACCACACCGGGTCCACATATGCATAACTATTGACCACACCGGGTCTATTTTTTCATCATAAAATAAACTTGCATTCATCATATGTCATATCCACACTATCATCCCAAATTAATAGGTCTAATCTTGGCCTTTACATCTCCAAAATGTAATAATATAACGCAACGGAAATAACATAAATGAACTAGATTTCAAAAGGATATTCTAAGCATAATCTAGTCTAGAACAAAATAAAAGTGTCGCTCTAAGCGTCCACCTCGGGATCCACATCCCCGTCAAGCGGAGTCTTCCAATGGGTGGGCTCCTCGGCTCCTAACTCCTCCTCAAGTGTGAAATCTGAAAAATTTTTATTTGTAGGGGGTGAGCACGAAACTCTGTAGCAAAATCCTCTCAACTCTAACAAGGTTTGAAAAACATAGCAAACGGTCGGTCTCATTTCACAACTAACATATATATAGGTTTGGAATGAAAACAGTGACATTTTAAAAGAGATCTCAAGTTTAAACAATAGCAATAATCAGTTAAAAGAATAAAGTGAGTTTAGCATCGATAAACAAAATTCTAATTTAAGCTATTTAAGAAGGGCTTCTCCCTAAGCATTGTCCCATACCAATGCATCGGCAAGAACGACCCAACTCCCGATTTCATGTATTTTTGGTTCATCCTCGTACCATGTATGTTGATTGCTTCTCGTGAATCTACCTAACGATCATGCCTAGTCCACCAATTCCAACCAACAATCACAAATCTCTTTAGGAAGGGCGTGTACCGTCTCCTACGGCATTGACGAAATCCTCCCAATGTGTCTAGTATACTAACCCTTTTCCTCGGTGTATATGTGAACAATAGTGATCGCGAGCACAACAACGATCCACTACGAGCATTAGGCAACCATCTCACCCCCCATTGGGATAGACTAACCTCTAACACTCTACGGCATCTCTCGAAGGTAATCCCAGTCCATCACAACAACCATACAATGAGGAAATCAAGAATATTCACAATTCACAACAATTTTCCAAATATAGTAAAATCCCCAATTTTGTTTTCACATTTGTCATATAATCGAATAATCCAAGAAAATATGCAAGAGATCGTAATCTATATCATTTTGTTATACAATATTCAACACTAAAGTTTTAAAATCAAAGACAAAGAAGAAATTAGGAGAAAATCCCCCTTTCTTGAAAACTAGGGCTTTGAAGATAAAAAAAAAATCAATAGAGCTTTGGTGGTTACCCACCCTTCATATTGTTCAAAACATGACATTTATTACAAATAGAACAAGAATCATGTATTTCATATTATATATATGAGAAGGAGAGTGAAGAAACATATATCTATATACATATATATATCTATAGATATATATCTAGCCTCAATGTGAGAGATTGAGAGAAAATCTCCTACCTTAAATCAAGATTCCAAGCTAAGACCCAAGCTTCAAGACCTTCTTGCTCTCCTTTCTTTTCCTCTTAATCTTCTCCTCCTAGGGTTTCAAAAGATTTGGGTGAGAGGGTAGCAAGAATGGAAGAAAATGGGAGGAGAATGTATTCTTGAAGAATTTGAAGTTTTGATTTCTACAAGGTATAAATCCCTCTTGATTGGTATTTCTATCTTCCTCTCTTCCTCTAAAATGGTTCCTAGGGTTTGGAGGGGTGAAATGAATTCTAAAGGGACGACATTAGGTTTTTATAGGGCAAGAAAATCGAGCAAAACCCGATATTTTCTGTTCAGAAAAAATCGGGTTTCCTTCGTACTGTTCACAGATTTTTGGTGCGACTTCCAGGTCAGTTTTGACCCATTTAGAGGTCGAATTTTTCATGAAATACTCTTTTGTAGCCCTAGATGTCTACTATTTCCTGTCAAAATTTCAGATCAATTGGACATCAAAATATAAAGTTATGATCAAAATACTAAGCAGTGTCCATCACCCCTTTTTACCCAATTTCACTCCAATTTGGTTTTACTTCTAAAATACTTCCTAACTTCTAATACATCCCGTATTACCTCTCCCAATGTTTTCCGACCTCCCGAATTCAATGGTAATGTAATTTTGATAAAAAAAATTAATATATTTATTTAGTTACCCTTATCAATTTTAAACACATCCAAAAAAAAAAAAATTATTAAGTTTGACCCAAAAATCAATCCGTTCGAAACTCAAACTTCATGATTAATATTTCAACAATGATTCTAAGTTTTTATCCTCATTTTATTCATATTTGGAAAACTCTTAAGATATTAGTATTCTTATTTAATTTTTAGTACAGGGTCTTACAGTCCTTCAGAAGTGCTTTGGTGAATATGTCCGCCACTTGATTCTTCATTTTTGTAATACTTGAGTTGAATCTCATCATCCTCTATGGCCTTCCAAATGAAGTGGTGTTTGATTGCAATGTGCTTGGTACGGATTTGGTAGATGAGATTCTTTGTCATTGCTATCGCGGAGTTGTTATCACACAAAATTGGAGTAGGCTCTCCTTACTTCTCACCAACATCTTCCAAGATTCTCCTTAACCATATTGCTTGTGATGTCTCCAATGATGCTGAAACACATTCGGCCTCAGCGGATGATTATACTACCATTTGTTGTTTCTTAGATGTCCATGAAAAGACACCTGAGCCAAGAGAAAATGCATAACTGGAAATGCTCTTCATATCATCCACACACCCGGCCCAATCACTATCGTAAAATCCAATCAACTTTGCATCTACATTTTTCTCAAACAAAATTCCATAATCAAAGGTGCCTTTGATGTATCTCAAACCTCTTTTTGCCGCCCTAAAATAAGTTTGGCTTGAACTATGCATAAATCGAGATAATAAACTTGTAACAAACATAATGTCCGACCTTGTAGCCGTCAAATATAACAAACTTCCAACCAAACTTCTAAAAAAAAAACATCTACAACTTTCCTTCCGTCTTCCTTTGTCAACTTTTCATTCACCAAAGGTGTAGCAACCAATTTGCAATTCACTATATTAAACTTTTCAAAGAGAGTTTTCCATACTTCATTTAAGAAATAAAAACACCATCTTCATTTTGAAAAACTTCAAATCCTAAGAAGTAATGCAACAAACCCAAATCACTCGTCTCATATTTTTTCATTATGTCACTTTTAAATTCTTCAAGCAACTTTTTATCATTTCCTTTAAAAACAAGATCATCAACATAAAAAAAAACAATAAGAATATCGGTGCTACCTTGTTTTTTGACGTACAAGATTGGCTCGCTTTTGCTCCTTTGAAAGCTTTTATTGTTGAAATAGGAATCGATCTCGCTATACCATGCTTGGGGTGCTTGTTTCAACTCATATAATGTTTTCTTCAACTTGTAAACGTTATCTTTTTTCCTTTGACAACAAAGCCTTGAGGTTGATCCACATACACCTCTTCCTCCAAGTCTCCATTTAAGAATGCGGATTTCACATCAAGTTGGTACAAAAACCATCTCTTTTTGAGCCGCCAAAGCAATAAGTGCTCTAATTGTATCAAGCCGAGCCACCGGTGCAAATGTTTCTTGATAATCAATACCCGATTGTTGAGAATATCCCTTTGCAACAAACCTTGCTCTAATACCACTTTGTTGGCCTTAAATTAGGCTTGAACATTAATTAATTAAAGAAACAAACAAGAGACTAAGAAGGAATATAGGAGAAGCTTTATAACTAAATTTTTCATTTCATTCATCTTCTAGAAAAAAATTTTACAAGTTTTTATGAATACTCTATACATTCTAGAAAAGTCTCTTACACTTTTCTAGACACACCTAAATATAAACATTATATATTCTAGAAAAGACTCTTACAATCTTTATCTAGACATATCCAAATAATTCTAGAGTTTTCTATATTTGAGCCTAATTTAATAAAACAAAATATGACCCAAACACATAATAATATTTTATGACTCAATTACAAACATAATAATTTTAGTCTAAATACAAAATAACACAACAAAATATTAAAATTAACGGTCAAAAATAAAAAATAAAAAACTTCCACCCTCAAAACCACCCAAAATCATCTGAAACCAACCACCTACAATGGCTTAAACAAACCTCCAATGACCCAACACCACCCACCGCCTCTCAGCACCTTCACCTTCATCGCAAACTCAGGACAACCATATCTCCGGTTGCACTGTCACCTCTACAATCACAAAAAAAAAAAAAAAGAAAGAAACAAATCCACCTGTAACCACCCTAAATAGCATGCACAATCCAAAACCTCTTTTTCTACAAACATCAATTCGTCTCCTGCCTTGAACTATAATCGGCTCAACGTCAAAGCAGAGAGAGAAGAATCTAAAGGGACAGAGCTCATTGGTATTCACATCGAGTGTGGTAACAGTGATGTTGGGTGGTTATGGTGGAACAGTCACGATGAAACGGGTGTGTTTGTTGTGGCTGATGGTGGTGGCACGAAAGGTTTGACTGGGCTTCATCGGGGAGGTTTTCTACGAGGCCTTCACTGTGGAGGTTTGCTCGTTGGAGAGGGTTCACAGAGGATTCACCATCATCGTTATAGATAGAGAGAAAGGGAGAGAGAGAGAGAGAGAGAGACAGATTTGCGAGTGAGGTGGGTTCATATGGGATTCACCGTTTGAGAGCAAGAAACAAAGATCTGAGTGAAGGGGTTTCTTAGAAAAGGTTTGACCATGTGAGAGAGAGAGAGATCTGAAAGTGGGAGAATCTGTCGGCGATAAGACTGGGAATAATAACTGGGGCATTGGGGAAGGGGAGGAAGATGAGGGGGATTAGGGTTCAACGAGGGGAAATTAAGAAGCGATAATTTTGTTATTTTGTCTCCACGTGGGTAATATCCGTCACTTTTGATGGCGGAAAACTGGCAGAATATGTTAATTGAAATATATTAAAAACAGTAATATTGGACTGATAAAATTTTAGGGCCAAATTTAGAACCCAAATGACATGGCAGTTGACTTGGACTTCTTTGATTGATATCATGTCATTTGAGCTTCAATAAAAATTTCAAATACCAACTACTATGTCATTTGAGCTCCAATTTTGGTTCCAAATTTGATCAATGTAGCATTACTCTATTAAAAATTAATAAGGGCAAATTGTTGAAATTGAAATCTCATGGGGTTAATTATAACAATTCCTAAAGTTGAAGGAGATAATTTGTAATTAATCCAAGTATACATCAAGATTTTATCATGAATGGGCCAACAATGATATAAATAAAAATTTAATTTAATGGGATTATTCAGCCGTCAGTGTCAAATTTTTATTTATAAAGAACCTATTAAATTTATTTTTTTATGCACGGATATCGAAAAATTTATTTTTGAGCACAAAACTCAAAAGTGGTTTATGTCATCATAAAAACTCATGTGTGATAATCTCCTCTTCTTTTTTTTCTTGTTAATAATGTAATTTTATGTCTATAAATAAATCAAAGTCTCAAATAATAGTTTCAAATAATATCATAATAAAAATGAGTTATTAGTTAACCAATTGCTTTCAATATAAATCATATTTGCATCCTTATTTTTTTTTAATAACTCAATAATTCAATAAATGTCTTCGTCAGTACGAGCGACACTCATCCATGTAATTATATATCTTAAATGATTACTAAATATTAAGTCATTGATTTTTTTAAATACACTAAGTGAGATACTGACACATTATTTTGAAAAGTTAGAGGTTAACAAAAAATTTAAAAAAATATAGGAGAGATAATGAAATCTTTTAAAATTGAGGGCAGGCCATGCCTCCTCGTAGGCCTGGCTTTGTATATAAGTGTACCTTTTATAGACGAAGATTTATATAGATCATGTTTGCAAAATAGTGTAAAGCTAAACTGATGCTTTAATCATTGGATAACATTTTTCTTAAACTTTTTGTTTTTTCAGTTACTTTTTTCAAAAAATGTTGGCTTTTTCACTGCATTATATTTTTGTACTTTTTTCAAAAAATTGTTTATATATGAAGATACATGTAGATCACTTTCTTAGATAGTAAATTAAACCTATTTTTATTTATTTTTAACAAAAGTACATTTTCGTTTAAAATGTTTCTTTAAAAAAGAGTTACTAAATGAAACAGGAATCAAGGTGCCTCAACCATGCAGTGACAATACCAAAGTGGGATTGGTTGCCAACATTGATGAAGCTGTACCAGATGTCGCGGTGAAGAATGGCGGATCGCTCTCTCTGATCACATCGGAGAATTTTCCGGTGCTCAGACAGGTCGGATTAGGTGCAAGTCTTGCAAAATTGGAAGCTAATGCCATGTTAGCGCCCATGTACACAGCAGATTCATCAGTTCAAATGGTTTATGTCAGCAGAGGCAGTGGAAGGGTTCAAATGGTGGGGTTTAATGGTCAGAATGTTTTAGACACCAAAGTGCAGGCTGGGAAGCTTTTTGTTGTGCCCAAATTCTTCACTGTTTCAGTAATTGCAGAAGGAGAAGGAATGGAGTGTTTCTCTATCCTAACATCTTCAAAGTAAGTACCATTTTAATTATGTAGTATAGGACAATAGTTTAATAGTTAACGTCTATGAAAACCCTAAGTTTTGAAAAATATTTAAAAAACTATCTCGGGTAACTAGAACAAGAAACTCTCTAGGATTACCAGCTCGAGGTTCCAAATTCAAGTACAACTATTTGTTGCTTAATGTGAGGTTCAACAAGTACTTAGTTTTAACCAATAGTTTAAAGGAGATATAGTTGAGATGATTCTTCGTTAGATAAATAAAGTTACCAAAACTTACATAACATAAATTCCTTTAGAAATTTACAAAGTTCATCCATCTAATTCTAATTTTATCCTAAAAACAGTCGGGTGATTGGCACTTTGTCCCACGCTAAAATACTTTAAAATGTCCACTTTACTCTCATATTGTACTCATTTTCATCCATTCTATTCACAAATTTATTTTCTAAATTGGGACAAAAAGGGCCAAATGGCTGCCACTTTTAAATGTTCAAGATGTATTTAAGGTGACATCTTAAATTTCTAAAGAGGCAAAGTGGAAATTTGAAAAGGAAAATACACTTGGACTTACTAATTTGGTTTTCTGATTTGATCAATCATTGTCATTGATTTAACTGTAGGTTCTAGTATTTATTGAGATCTACTACCTATTTAATGATTATGATTGATCAAGCCAACAAATCAAATTATCATTTTAAATTCATGTAGCATTGCTCAGTTTGAAAATCTTTTAGGGAGCCAAAAGTCTTTATTATGTTATGATATTATAAAAGCATTCTTATTTTATGCAAAGATGTTTATTACTTTTTTTTTCCCCCAATTCTTTTGCTGCAGACCTTTATTCGGGCAATTAGCTGGGAAAACATCAGTGTTGAAAGCTTTGTCTCCTTCAGTTCTACAAGCCTCTCTGAATGTCACTCCACAATTTGAGGAACTTTTCAAGTCAAAGTCTGAAAGGAACACAGTTATTATCCCTCCAAAGAATTGATCAAATTGCTATTTGATTTTTGAGTGTCATTGCTTGTTTGGTTGCTGCAGTACTTTTGTGAGATAAAATAAATAATTAATAACTGAGCATTGTATCTTATTTCTTTTCAGTCCTATATGTCCGACTGCCAATAACTCTTGTCATGTTGGCTTCATATCCTATTTAAGTTTGTGTGAAAATTTATTTATCTCATATCTTACTCATGTATTATTGTTTAAAGTCAGATTCGTTCTATATATATGTGTCGCGTCTAGCTAGATTTTGTGTCAACTCATTAGTTTAATCTGTTTACCACCTAAGTTTGCTATAAGTAAGTTGAACTTGCTAATGTTGTGTCGATTTTATATCAACTTAGTGTCTAGAATTGTAGGCCTACTTATGTTTCATGCTAAAATACAAGAGTATTTGTGTCAGGAATGCGGAAAGAGGTGTTGAATGTGCATATAAGTTTCATTTGTGTTGAATTTGTGTCAGGAAAGAGGTGTTGGATGTCATACAATTCTCTTTTAGGTTGTCTATATGGGCTAGCTCAAGACACCCAATGCAACCCGAGTATGGCCCAAGATGGGCCACACTCTTTTGGAACTGGGCTAGACTAAAGGTTTTGGCTCGTAGGCTAGCCCAGGCTTGAATGGTGCAATTAATATCTATAGGGCAATAATATTTTGAAATCCAAGAAAAAAATTTAGCATTCTAAAACGATAAAACTTTTACACTATCATTTTAGAGAGCTAATAGTATATATTGAAACTCCGCCTGTGTACTTTTGTGCACAATCAGTCCCAAATTCTCAGATAAAGGAATATAGTCAACCACCGATTAGAGAGGTCTAGTGGTGGTACCGATCTTACTCCTCACTCAGAAGCTGAGAGTTCGAGTTTTAGAGTCCTCATTAGAGTTCGGTGATTGACCGCTATACTAACCTAATTAGGTCTGATCCCGATAATTATTTCATGCGTGGTTAGGGGCTTTATGATTTTATCGGTGAAAGCCTAACAGGGTGGTCGCTAGACGCTCTTTCTTCCCCCCACCTCTTTTTTCAATTATCAAAAAAAAAGAGTAAGAAAGTCGTATTAAATAGTTGATAGCTAATGTAAAACTCGTCAAATCATGCATAAACATTAATCAGAAGAATATTTCACTGCATTGGACATGATAGAGCACAATGATAAAAGATAATTCATGTAGTCGAACCCAAAAATATTACCATAAAGCTTTTGTTGAGTTGTGTTGTAACAATATATATTGAGTTGTCAATATCATTTATCTATTAAATATAATAATTTTACTTGTTATTACTTATTAGGATGCAGAGTTTTTCTTTGTGTCAACAATGGCATAGAGTATATTGGTCAAAAATTCTATAAAGTAAAATAGTATTAAATTTTAATTATTTTAATTATTTTCATATGTATGTTTAGAAATTTTCAAATATAAAATAGAAAGAAATAGGCATTAATACAAACTAAAAAATTGGGTCGGGACAAAAGAATGCTAGCATATTTTGGTTTAGGGTCGGAGTTGGCTTGACCCGAGCCTTGGTATCGGGCGGTTTTCTATTCTATCCTTACCCTCTATTTTGTAGAATGGAAAATACAGTTGATGGAAAATGGGAGAAAGAAAAGACTTTCTTTTTTATTTTTGTTGATATTGAAAATTGAGATATAAGAGAGCAATATAGTAAATTAGGGACGATAATTTAAAAACAGTAATTCTAAGGTAGTCTACGGGGCATGCATCCAACTCTACTTGACTTTCTCTGGTTTGAGATGGAAAGAAAATAAGGTGGAATGGAAAAAATGATGGAAAGGTGTTCCACTCCGCCCGCCAAAAAAAATCCACCCACTTTTGGGTGGAAAGTGGAGAGAGAAATGGAGAACTTGAGTTGTCAATACAACAAATTTGTTTTTTAGTGACGAGTTTTGGCGGTAAACAATAAAATTTGTTGTAAAAAAGTAATTTTCGGCGATAATTTCAAATGTTTAACTTGGTAAACTTTTTTATGATGTTTTTTACGACCATTTTTTGTAGTCATCGCCAATAGTCTTTGCAAAAACGTTCCCTCCAAAAAAAATTGACACCAATATTGGCGCTAAATGCTACTTTTACGAGCGACAAAAAAAATTGTCAACAAAATAATTTTTCGATCGCAAACTTTTTGTCAAATAACAAAAAATAAGAAAACAAAAATAATAATACTTAGTAACAATATATGTTTGTCAGAGAAAAAAAAGTTAAAATTATTTTTGTTTGACGAAAAATTATACTTGGCCATAGAATATGTTAAATGCAATGTGCACTCTGATGGATTAAAACGACGTCATTTTGAAGTTAAAAGACTATAACTTTTGGTTCCAAAATGATGTTGTTTTGGAACCCTTAATTAAACCCTTGTCTTCTTCCTCGACAAATATATCGATCTTGCCCCCACTTTGCCCCACCTTGTCGCCTCTTTGGTCTACCAAATTACTGCGACTATGAGTCTGTCTCTCTCTCTATCTATCTATATATATTCTCTCTCTGTATCAATCTTTGTGTATCTATATATCTGAGACACAAATCTTGAAAAACACACACATAGACACAGACACAGACATACACAAAGAAACACATACAGTTAGTCACGCACACACACATACAAAGTCAGAATCAGTCACACACACAGAGTTAATTACGCACATACACATCCAGTCACACACACACACACACACACACACACACACAGTTAGTTACGCACATACACAGCCAGTCACACACACACACACACACATACACACACACAGAGTCAATCACGCATACACACGGTCAGCCACATACAGATAGTCAGTCACGCACACAAATAATTATAGATACACACATAGATTCTATATTATTTGATTCAGTTTTTGATGGACTGATTATGTGAGTTGATATATCTTTGCTTAATGTATTTGAAATATTGGGTGCAAGGTGTTTGTTGAATTGTGTAAATGAGTTATATGAATCAGAGAATTTCAACAAAAACCAAAAAAGCCAAAATTATGGCTTTAATCCTTCAAAACAATACAATGCATCAAGAATTCTCCCTTCAGGTACGCCTATTAACCATTCCACCCCTCTCTAGCCATGCAAACAATGCAAGTTAGCATACAAAAACAGAGCAACACAGGCTTTGCAAACAGATCCCAACAGCCCAATCAACCTTTGTCATCAAACACCATCACGCTTTTACACCGGAGCACAAACAACTATTTCGCATCCTGAAGCAATGCCAATTTCACAACACAGGGCAACTGCAATAGAGCAGACAAATCCATAGACCTTCTGTCCTGAACTGCGTAATTAGCAAGCTTATATACAACCATATTTGCCTCTTTGTAGACATTCTGAATCTCATCATCCAGTAGCTTAGGGAATTTGTGCAATTTGATTTGGTTTTTGAAATGTGCTTGGAATGAGTTACCAAAGTGTGATATTCAGAAGCCACTGGCAAAGGAACATTTTAATACACTATAAAACACTTGGTTTATATTTTTGGCTTTACCACAAAGACTGTGACCTAGTGGTACTCCAATCTTCCATGCCCATGGTGATGTGTCTTCACCTCCCTCTTGATTATTCTTTTTATTCTCTCTCTTGGCTGTCAAACACACTGTACATGTTAGAATTGTATTTTTAAACAAAATGAATGTATCTTTGTTTTGATATTAGATGTATGATTTTTGATATGGGGATTGAACCCATCCTTCACTTCATCTTTGACATTTTCCATTTTTTAAACTTTAGTGGGATTAACACATCAAATTTCGTTAATTCTACTTGTTTATTAATTGATTATTTCTATAGTGCACAAACCACCTTTACCTAAAAAGATCTACTTGATCTGTGTACAAACAAAATTAAATATTTTTTTTTTAATTTTTATAAAGATTCTTGCATAATTAACTATTTTTTCAAACGATACCAATTAAATAGTTTATCTTGTTAAGATTAAATAATTCATATTTAATAATAAATTACACTATATTAAATTTAAATATTGGTTGATTTAATTTGTAATCCAATTAAATGATGGGTAACGAAATTAAGAATCGCATTCAACGGGCCACATAACTCAACTGCTATCAAATATAGCATCATACTTGGCTCCTCTTGTGACATGACAAGTAATAGTTGGACATTTAAATTTCATATTCATATCGAACCATTACACCCCGCAGAGCTGTAATCACAATCACACCCCGCAGGGCCATAATCATATTTTACCAATTATGCCCCAAGTACACTTCGTATATGTACCAATTAATCCCAAAGTATTTAGTCCAACGTTCAGATTAACTGATAAAATTGTTAGGATTTTGAATAAATCAGAATAATCAATAGGAATACAAATATCAGATAATCAAATGACACTCTTTATAAAGAGATTTAAAATACATGAGCATATTGTATACTACCTCGTACCTCAAAATCATTAATAACATTAATAGATAAGAAATTCGAAGTACTTCATATAGGACACTTCAATTTGGTAATGATCAAAACTAAAATTCACTATTTATTTTTTTTTTTGACTCTAAAATCTCATGAATTTCTCTCCCTTCATCTCTTTCTCTCTCTTTTTCTACTTTTTTTTTCTCATGCTTGCTCATTGTCTGAAAGGCTATTTATAGCCAATTTGTTGCTTGGCCTCCAAGGCTTTGATGTCACTTGTTGGTGTCATTTAGAGCGTGTACAAGTCCTTGCAATTTTTTTTTACGAATTATATAGTGTTTTCAAGTACAGACAATTATATATATATATATATATAGTAACATTAAAAATACAAAAAATTAATATTGAAATACAAAAAATAGTACCATTTAATTACAAAAAAAGTAACGTTTAAACAGAAAAAATAGTAATACACAAAAACAAAAAAAATAGTAATATTGAATATTAATATTTAGAAAAATAACACTAGTAACATGCTCAAACAAAACAGTAACATGTTTAATAAAAATAATAACATGAATAGTAATATGGTCAACAAAAACAATAACATGAATAATAATATAAAACATTAAAACCCAAAAAATAATCATATTTAAAAAAAAAACCCAAAACTCACAAGTTTTCTTCTTCTTCTTCTTCTTCTCTCTCTCTCTCTATGGTCTCTATATATACACACACATAATAAGAGTCTATTACCAAAGTACTACAAAAGTTAAACTTATTTACCAATCTACCGCCATTTTAAACTTGTTTACCAAAATACGGCTATTTTAAAATCGAAATTACGAAACCCGAATTCATTAATAAAAGTGGAATTAGGAAGTACGCCTTTATTGACAAAGTGGATGTACCAAGTACGATTTTAGTAAAAATTGGACTTACCAAACCCGCTTTCTAAACTGCTGAAATTATTTTTGAAAATTAAAAGCGTACTTCGAAAGTCCGCCTTATGCAGGAAAAACGGATCTACCAATTACGAATTTAAACAAAAAGTGTGTTTCTCAATTACGCTTTCATTTGAATAACCACCCACTCAGGGCCCCCTTTTTATTATTATTCGTTGACTTCACCTCTCTCTCCTCTCTTCTCTGTTCTCTCTGAGGAAGCTCAGACATCGCCCTTTCTGCTTTTCCATTCATTGAGCGACTCTTTCTTCTA